AGACAGTGGCTACTTCATCGCGTCTCTGTGAAAATTAGACAATAGTGAAAAGTCTCTGCAATCTGCAATGGGTTAGAAAATGATTAAATATTACTACTATCAGACCTAGAACTGAATGCAAGATTCCTCCATGAGGGAAATGAAGAGACACAGGAAGGTATATCAGAAAGGGTCAACACACTGCTAATCCAGGGGGAAATCCCCAGTTTGAAAGAATATCCTTGCAGATCTCTTTTGACCTGGGTCTGAAAATGAGAGTTCAGGCCAACCTGGATTTGCTTCTGAGGAGACAGAAAGGGGAGGGAGGGAGGGAGGAGGTGTGTTTCCAGTACAGTCTCTGGGCTCCTCACTGGATGGCTCAGCTCACGCCACACATGTGTTCCCTGTCCGGGGAACCTCCCCCAGGCAAAGACTGCGCAAGACGATTGCAGCCCTGTCCTGAGAAACAACCCAAACCCATGAGCAGACATACCTTTCCAGTTTGCCAAGATGAGGGACTTTTCTTCTCACTGTGGTTTGTGTTTTCCTGACACCTCGGAGCTTAGGAATGAAATCTCCCTGTCATTCACTAACCACGTCCTTGGAACAGTTTTGCAAAGGCAGCAGAAGAGGGAGAATTTGGAGAGGCAGTGGGATTTTGAGATGTGTCTTCTTTAGCTCAGGAGCCCAGTTTAACCCGCAGGCCCTCCTTAGATGTCTGCCAGGTTGGGCTAGACCTAGTCTACTGGTCCCAGAGGTGTAAGGAAGGGTGGGCAGAGACCCCCAGACTCCTTCCTGGGCTGGGAGGGTGCAGTGCCTCGGCTGAGACCCTGTGGTCTGGTGCTAACCCACCACCTCTGAAGGCCCAACTCCAGGCTACCCTGCCAGCCCTCTGGGAAAGCATGAGCTCTTGGGGTGTGCCCTGGCTCACCCCTCAGTGCTGCCCACTCTGGAGACCTGGCTCCATGGCCGAGTGGTGGTGTCGTGTTGGTCAGGTGGGCTGGTCCCATGGGGCAGTGTCAAAGCACAACCGGAAGGCAGACCGCGGGCACCGACACTATGAAGCTTGTGGTATGGAAGGCCCACGGCAACGTAGCAGTGATGCTCAAGTTCCCAAAGCACGTCTTGAGGGTGAAGGACACAGATTTGATTAAAAATGAAGTAGCATGGATAAAAATCACCCCTCAAAATAAGGAAGGATTTGAACCGCATCGAGCTGCCCCCACAATGTCCTGATTTGGAGATAGCTTTCCCATCTTTGGGAGCCAACCAGCTAGCAGAGGTTAGACACCTGCTCTGGGACGGGGAGGGAGTGGTGGTTGACACGATGTCCTCGGGGGGGCGGGGGCAGCCATGCTTGACCTCCTTCAGGCGGCCCTCACGGGCTTTCTCAGAGTTCTCTTCTTCTCAACTTGACCCCGCGTTACCCCAGGGCCGGACTCTGTCACTCAGTGCAGATGCCCAGCAAACCCTGAGGAGTGCCCCCCACTTGTCGTCCTCTGTGTTGACAAAGCAGATGATCCTATTGCACAATTATTCTAAGATCCCCCAGAAGGGTGTTGGCAGAGCTAAGCAGGTCTTGACCAGAAGCAGGACCCTCTCTTGTCACTGCATCTTTTCTTCCTCCCAGAATAGAAAAGAGTCACCCCTGCTCTTGAACAACATCAACATCTGCCAGAACCCCCCTACGGAGGGAGCCCTGGGCCACCCCTGCGCTAACCTGTTCCAGACCCATGATCATGCTTGCTGTCCCGGTACTCCTGTGCGACAGGTGCGGTCAGTGCATCAGAGGATGAGCTAATGGCAGCTCAGAGAGCATTGCTGCCTTGCTGGGGGTTCCCCAGGCAAATGGTGAAGGTAGAATTTAGGTCCAGGTTTCTCCGACTCCATAGCCTTTCCCAAGCCAGGAGCCCTCTCCAGCATCTGATTTAGTTTAAAATTGACAGGATAACGATAGACACGCAGTTTATCAGCTCTTGAAGAAATACAGTTAGTTAATCACCAGACCATAGACCATTTCAAGAGTTCTATCATTGCCTTCAGATTAATATAGTTTAAAACCAATGTTTAGAAAGCACAGCTCACCTTCGGTTAGGTGTCTTCGCACTGCTGGAAATGGTGTCTTTCTTCAATGGTGCTGAGAATGATGGGTCTTCCTTGGAGCTTATAGTTAGTGAGATGAGGAAGGCCCTTTTCTTCTGCACACTGTTCTGCCTGATGGCAGCATCACAGATGACCACAGGCAAAGTTCTAGAACCCTTTCTGAAAGGGAAGATGGCAGAGGCTGGCTCTCATTTCCTAGACCCTAACAGGCACATTTTGATCCCCTGTCCTTACTCCCCTTTCAAATTCTAAAACCAAGTAGCAGGATTAGCAGGCTTCAGCATGCCAACTCCATGTGCTTGTGGCTCCAGAAGGATCAGCACATGTCTTTTTCAAGCTGGTGATCCTCACTGTCTCCAGCCTGGGCTCTGCCCTTGGTGACAGCCTCAAGAGCAGTCTGCTCCCCAGAATGGGGGCAGGTGACAGGGTCGCAGACGGAACAGGAGAGCCGAATCTGCGCTTGAGCCTTTGAGGGTCGCAGACGGAACAGGAGAGCCGAATCTGCGCTTGAGCCTTTGCAAGCTGAAGCAATACATTCGATCGTGTTTTGCCTCTGTTTGTTGTTGCTGTTGTTTGTCTGGATAAAATGGACCAAAGAGATGACTTCTCTATTAGGGAGGAATGGGTGGATCTCACCTGAAAGTTGCTTTCTGCTTGTGGGAAATCTTCCAAGTAAAGAATTAAATGCAGGGGCTGGGG